GACTCACCCTAGAGGCCTAGCACCCCCATCCCAAAGTGAAAGCCTCAGTCCTCATCTCCCTAGCCAAAGTCTCAGGGCTGCCTCTGGCTAGTTGAGTTTGGATCACATGCCCCTTCCCAAGCCAGTCACTGTGGGCAGGAGATGGTTTGTTCTGATTGGCTGAACCTGCGTCCCATGGCCTCTGTAAATGGAGATGGTAGGTTCAGATTTCTTGAACCCACGAAGTGGAGGGACTGGTTCTAGAAGTAGGTGGGTATCAGGTCTATTTTTTGAGTCCTATTTCTGTGGCTTTGGGCAGGTTGCTTGTTGCGTCCGAGCCTCAGTTTCCTTGTGGGAAGGAAGCAGCCAGGAATTTGGGTCCCAAGCCTGCCTTGTCTTCTCTGAGTGATGTAGTGGACTATTTCGTATATACAGAGAAGAACAGAAAATCGCACAACAAAGGTGATTTGTTACAACCCAACATGTTTCCTTATTAAAATCAGAAACGTTGAGTAAAAACCTATGAGAGTGTGGAATCCAGCTTATACGTGAGGAAGAATGTGGAAGATTGCAACAAAATGTGGAAACAGAGCAAGAAAGGAAGGCTCAGTAGATGACCTTGGTCTTCCCCAGATGCTGACCTGTGTGGGAAGATTGTTGGGTGTTTTATTGAGAAAAAAGAATTGCTGAGCAGTGGCTCGTCCCCCTGAGCAGCTGCCACTTGGATGGGAGTGGACAAGGGAACCTGCCCAGTGACAACTATGGGAAGGGCCAGGGTGCTTGGCTGGCGAGTCCCAGTGGGAGAGGATTTGGGGCCAAGGAACAAGGGTGAGGGAGGTTTGTTCCACGTTCACAGGGATGACATGATCTCTCTTGTTGATCTGCTTGTTTCAATAAATATTTCCTCCCATCAGACCGTGAGACACATGATGGCAGAGGCTGTGGCTGTCCTGTTTGTCACCCGTATCCCAAGAGGGTCCTTCCCCAGTTCAGGAAGTCAGACAGCTGTTGCCCGGACCTGCCCTCCATTAGGGCTGGGCGTTACCTTGGGAAATATCTGCTCTGTCCCCAGCTGTCTGAGGGGAAACAGGCTGAGGAAATGGTAGGGCTTGACTACATTACCCAGTGAAGACAAGGCAGGCCTGGAACCCAAATTCCTGGCTACTTCCTTCCCACAAGGAAACTGAGGCTTGGAGGCAACAAGCAACCTGCCCAAAGTCACAGAGACAGGACTCGAAACCCCAAGTCCAGACTCCTGAGCAGGGCTTCAAACCAGAATGCTGTCATTCTTTGGAGAAGGGTGAAGGGACACACTTCTAGCTCCAATGCCCTGATTTTGCTGCCACCTGGTGGCAGCGTACTTGAGATACCCAAGACATCATTTTGACCACTTTCAACACCCAATTGAATTCCATCAAATTCCCAGTCTACAAAACAGATTTAATTGTGCCGTACAGTGAATAATGCAGCCGTGAGCAAGTGAGGTTGAATGACCAGGGCAGCCCATCCTAGTGGGTTCTGCTTGTGGGGTCTCTGGGGTGTGGAGGAGGATGGTCATCATGTTGACGGATGATGGAGTTGATCCAGTTTGCAAACTGTGCCACTGGGGCAAATGCATCTGGGTAGACCCCAGACCCGCAGCCTCCCCGGATGAAGGAATCGATGCCGTGGACCACCCCGTTGCAGACAAGAGGGCCGCCGGAGTCCCCCTGTGGAGGCAGACAAGGTCAGGAGACAGGACTTCAAGGCCTGCTGCCCCCCTGATGCCCTTGAGAGTGTGGGAAGTCCATCCTGGAGTCTGACTGCAGTCCTGATTGCTGCAGCCTGGGCTAGGAGTGGGGTGGGGAGCAAGGGGTACGTACAAAGCAGATGCCAGCCCTCCGGCGACGCACGAGGGTGCACACGTTGGAGCGACGACAGTTAGAGGTCACCACAGTTACGTTGAGCTCTTGCAGCACACTGGGTATTGGCCGGTTTGTGCCCAGCTGGCCCCAGCCCATGGCCAGGCACCGTGCCCCATTGCCCACGCCTTGGTCCTGGGCAGGCAACTGGGCCACCTGCACATTGGCATTGAGGGTGGCCGTCCCGTTAAGCTGTGGTGGGCAGGACAGAGCAGCAGTTGGTCACCTGGGGCAATGGGCAGTGACCCTCCCTGTTCAGAGCCTCGATTTCCCAACTGAGATCCCACTCAAAAGGTGGGTTCTGAGGTCTCCCGGAGAAGGCCACCCAGTCTGCAGGCTGCTCCGCATCCCAAGCCTCAGTTTCCCTTCTATAACAGGAGAGCAACCACAATGCTGGGGGATGTTGTTGGGAGGGTAGCATCCCTGGATGTGGTCTGAGCGTGGTACACAGTAGCTGCTCAATAAAACTGAACAACATGCCCGGCAGTGAAACCCTTGTTC